GAAGCATCCGTTAATTATCAAACATCTACAGAGATAGGTCATGATGATGGAAAAGGCAATCTCGGTTATTGCTACGAAAATGGAAATGTTAAAAAGGATGAGTGTAAGGCTTCGATTCATCGAAAATCAGCAGAGATGGATTGTGTTGATGAGACGAATGATCTTGGTGATTATTACTATGAAAATGGAATTGTAGTTGAAAGAGATGAATGCAAGGCATCCATTAATGATCAAAAATCAGCAGAAATGAATAGTGCTGATGGAACATACGAGTTCGGATATTGTTGCCATAATGGCATTGGAATCGAAATCGATGAACATGAGGTATTTAATGATCCTCAGGAGCCCGCTGATATGAGTTGTGCTGGGGAAATTGAAAAGGCCGAAGCTGTTGAAATGAAAAATGCTGATGGAATGGATAATAATGGTTATTGTAATCGAAATGGAATAGGAATTGATAAGGGTGAATGTATGAAGATTCTCCAACATGGGTCTACGAATGTTGATCGTAATAGGCTGATGCCGTTTGTATCCGTTCTTGTGGATTTCTTGGTTGTTTGTTGTTGGTGGTGGACTGTAAAACGATATATGGAAAAGTATGAAAGGGAATATGGTGTTGATGCCAAAATGAGAGGTGTTGATGTTGAACAAATCAAATGTGGCACAGTCGTGGGTGATGGCGTTAAAGTGGACGATAAAATCGAGGGTATTGTTAGTGACGTAGCGCCTGAAAAGATGACAGGAAACATTAGTAAATGTGGAATACCTACTATAAGTAAGGACAGTCTTGATGATTCTTGTGAGAAGTGGTTGGAAAAGGTACGGCAATTTAGAGGTGTTGGTAAACTGGTAGATTTGTACTTCGGGGACGAAGTACAGGGGGGTCTAGCTCATGTCATGGTGAATTTCGGTACCCCAGGTAATCGGTTGGTGTAACGTGATCATGTATGGCGTGATCGGGTTTTTGCATAATCGGTAGTTATCAATTTAAGAGTCTAATTAATGTAATCAGTGACGCAATAGTAATTAATATATAAGGTCGTGATCCTTTAAGGGAATCGACCAGACAAGTTTTAATTCGTAAGTTAGGTTTCCTAAAGCAACCTTTAGTTAAGAAACTGTATACTGCATTATCTTCGCTTTGGTGGTTAGTACCTGAACGATACGCCGGTATAAGAGAAAGCCAAGCGTGAAAAGACCCGTAAATTAAAGTGAAGCAATAGGTAGTTGAAAAACTACACGACAGAAGGACCTGGGCAAGCGAACAGTAAGCTCGCTGTAATTACTCAGTTAAGTTCTTGAATCAGTGGACTTGGAAGTCCCAGGTAGTAATTCGTGAAAGAGAAGTGAACGGTGAAACTCGCGAACCTGCTAAAGTAAGCGTTAAGGTTTCAAGAATCAAGTGAAAGTTCTCTTGCGGTGTATTTGCAAGTTAAGGAACGACGTTAGTAACTGGTGTTAGCAAAATGAAACGACAAAGAACGATATTACCTGAAAAGCGGCAAAGTAATGGTGTTAGGTGTTTGAGGCTCGATTATCTTGAAAAACCGTTCTATGATCGTGGTGTCGTTGAAATGATGGACTTTCTTTGGGATTTTGAGAAACACGGTGAATTAAAAAGGTGGAATGATAATATAAAACGAAAGAGGGTCGTATTGTACGTGTCGAAGAATCAAAGGCCGTGGTTGCGCAAGATGATCAAAGCATGTGATACGTGGTACGGTTTGAAGAAGGCAATGATTAAAGGAGTTGTGGAAGTAGAAGAAAAGATTAATCGTCTGACGCAAATAAAGCAGCAAGATGAATCCGTATTGATATATACTTACCGTTATGAAATGGAAGTTGCGCCGATAAGACATGCGATTCGTGATTATGAAGAGATGTTCTGGTTTATATTTGGATTAAAGGAATCATACCGATGGGAGGTTGAAATGATGTGTCCAATGACATATGAAGAAGCAAAGAATTTCGCATTGATAGTTGAAGCCGGAGATGATCAAGAAAACGTACGAGAGAATGAAGAAGTAAAATTAGGCGTTAGTGAGTTAGGGATCCTAAGAGAGGCCAAGAGCTACTAAGGCAGTTCGTATCTGTATATAAAATCACATAGGTGAGTTCTTTATTTGGTTGAATCTATTTTAGTTAGAGATAAATTACTTGTAATTTTGAATAACTTGATCTCAAATAAACAAGGGCAGGATAGCTGAATTAGAAAAAAAAATAAATGTTATTTTTAATTTGACTAGTAAATTGCTAAGCTAATGCTTAATTAAAATATTATTTACTGATTCTGATGCAGCTGAAGTTATTGAAATAGCTAGTACAGTCTGGGAATATACCAAATTAGGAAATCACATTCTAGAATGATCTACAAGCACATTCTTGAATTTGATTGGCTCACACGTGCCTTTTAACCCTCAAAAATTGCGCAATCAAAAAAAAATTTTTTTTGATAATTATTAGGGCCAAATAAGTTTTGAATACGTAGTTCAAGACGTGTAGTTTCAATCATCCCAAAAAATCCCTCAAGATAAGCTCTTTTGGTCAAAGTAAATGAGACGTTAAAATAGGTATTTATTTCACATAGAAGGTTTAAAAACGTCATCAGTTAGCTTAAAGATTGTTTTAAAATTTTGTCATTAGATTTAAAAGTTTTTAATTTATTTATATTCTAATAACCTTTCCTTTAATTTAATTATAACTGTATAGATATTAAAAACAGTTTGTGGAAAGAAGCACACAACATTCGACGTAGATTTAGTTGCAAGTTAATATATAAATAGTGTTGTATACAGTAATAATATATACGGGTGATGTTTAATGATATATGCTAAATAATTGCATTAAATAATTGGTAGCGATTATAATAATTAAATAGAATATAGTTACCATTAAGATATTTAATAAAAAGTAAAGCTTCGCCTAAAACTTTGCTTATAATAAGCTATTTTATTCTTATATGTTCGTATATGAAGTTTTTTGATTAATTTGATTAGTTAATGTCATGTGCCATAAAATCTAGAATCTTCTGATCGACATCTTTATACTATAAAAGGTGCGATCTTCAATGTCCATTTTTGGTATATTCCTAGACTGTAGTAAATCTCTTATCTTAGTTCATTTTCCATCCACCAGGTTAAAACATTAAATGATCCTGCACAAGAATGGGGAATAAGTGGATCTATAAGATATTGTTCAAACTCATTCAGTTTATTTACAACATTAGCTTGATTATCTATAAGAAAATGGTCAAAATCTTGCATTAGATCATCTTCTTGAGAAATGATATTAGAAAATTATCATTATTATTAGAATTAATGTAGATGTACCTGTAGAGTACATTAAACTTTTTGTACCCATTATTTTGATTACAGTAATATCAATATTATTTATTTTAGGTTAGGGTTAGAGTGAAAACTATATCAAGGTTTGGGTTTAGGTAGTTATATAGTAAAATTGCTAAGAAAAACTTTTTATTAATGCATAGAAGATGGCTTGATATTCAATTTCTTGCGAAATAAGTGATTTTTGTGATTTTTGTCAAAACAAACATTTGTTTTGAATTTTTTGATTGTGTAATATTATACATAATATATAGATCACATAATGCGGATATATGTACCTTTGGGTACATGTATATAATCCCTTATTATTATTGTTGGGTGCAACTATATTTTGCATATATATTGACTGATAGATCATTATAGCTCTGTATTAATAAAAGTGATGAAAGAAAAATCTGTAAATTGGTTTACTATTTTTTATCTTATAAGATTCTGCTTTTGAAGAACCTAGTCTATTTGATGATTTACTTTTAGAATTATCTTATTTTAATTAATTTGTTTAATATGAAACAATAATTATTAAAGTGACTAGATTAACTAGTTATATATATATTACATATAATTATTTTGAAATCAGTTTTACAGAAATCAAATCTAATAAAGTCAAGAGTAATAAATTAATTTACAGATTTTCCTTTTGTTATTCACAATAATTATTATTATTATTTTTTTCCTTTATTGGCAGCCTCACTGGTATCTTTATTAGATTAAAGCTAATGTAAAGTTACAATATAAACTATCTAAGTTATAGATCTGACATCACTCGGCTTCCTCTATAGGCGCCCAAGTGCGGTCTGCCTCACCGGTTAAGGCTATTGTCTGTACTGGAGGGCTGCACCAAGCTAGCTGGTAAAACCATAGCAAGATGGTTTCGATTTAAAGAGATTTTTAACTAAACTAAATTGGAAATTTTTCTCTTCTAACCTATCCTCTATTTTATCATGTACTAAATCTAATTTTCTATTAACAAACAAGTCTATCTTCTTTCTCAATAAGGGATTATTGCCAGAAATCTCTTGTTTATATTTGCATTTTCTTTTCCTCTTCTTCCAATTAAACCTGTCCTTTCCGAATAAAGACCTATTTCTTAGGGCCTTATGCTTCATAGCTTCGTGGTTTTTTCCTGCTTCTTGGTAGCTTTTCCTGCAATCTTTCTTTGCCGATACTCTTCTGTAAGCTTTC